ACTGGTGACCCAGAATCAACCCCAGGGCCAAGTCACTGGGGAGGGACATGGGTCCAGACACAGTGGGCAGTGTGGGCTGGACACTCAGGGCCCAGACCCTGCCCCATGTGTGAGCACTGGGGGAAGTGGCTGTGAGCCTGTGCCCCTAAGGCCTCTGTCACTTAGGACCTGTGCACATGGGCCTTGGCAGGGCTGCTGTGGAACATTCCAGAGTGGGCCTTCAAATTCAAATTGCATTTTGTCCTGGGTGTCTTGTATCTCTCACTTATGGGTCCTCCTGGATGTTTCAAGGAGTCCCCTCACTGGAAGAATCGGGAGAGATGTGTCAGCTACCCTGGCCCAGATAACATTCAGGGTCTGCGGGGGCAGGGGGTCTCCGGGCGTCTCTGTGGACCCAGAGTCAGGACCCGGGACATTGGAGTGTGTGGTCCTGTCAACCCCACATCTGGAGGACGCTGTGGTTGGGTTGTCTGTGGGTGCAGAGAGAAGCTGGATCTACAGTTCCCAGAGTCCCCTCTGTAGAGTGGGACAGTGGAGGATCGCAGGTGAGTCGGGGCAGGTGGAAGTGAGGAGAGGCTGTCATGACTGGGAGGTGGTAGTGGTCAGCTGATGGACAGACGCAGGTCCCAGCCGGCTCAGCTGTGGCAGACTGAGTCCGTGGGAGAGCAGCTTTCCTCCTGAGAATGCAGCACTTACCCTGCAAACGTCAGAGCGCTTCAGTGCTTCCAGCCAGGGTTCCTCAGGTCTGTTCTGACAGTCCAGCTGCAGCCTCCCGCTGTGTCTGATGCCCCCGTTCTGAATCACCCTGTATCGCTTGTGTGGCTCTGGGTGAGACTGCCTAGCTCTTCTCACACACATGGGTCTTCAGAATGGCCCTCAGTGCCGCCTCTGTCCCCACCAGGTGAGGGGCCGTCTGACGGCCGAGGCCTGCCCTCCCTGGTTAGGTATGGGAGAGGTGCTCAGGCTCCATCCTGGTGATCAGTCACCTCCCAGGACGTGGCAGCAGCTGACCAAAGGAAACTGATGCAGGGACAGTTGTAGCAATGCTGAGTCAAAGACATGCGATTATTACAACATTAACATGTGCCTTGAGGGCTTCAGAATTATCCAGCTTGGATAAATTCGGGTGGGCGATGGGACAGCTTGCAGAGTACACAGATTCATGACCTCACCTCAAGCAGCATCTTCCTGTGCTGAGTCCCATCATGCTGTTTTGATCTGCCTCTCTGGTGGCCCGCAATGTCCTGGATGTCACTGCTAGAGTATAGGAGAGTCACTGGTCAGGCCATTACTAACCAGGTTAACCAGTTAACCCACCAATCATTTGGTTAGCAACTCAGCACTTAACCACTGCACCACCCGGGCTCCTTCCACAGGTACACCCATTGCCTTCAAGTCAATTCCGACTCATAGCAACCCTCTAGG